CAAGGGACTCTCGAGAGTCTTCTCCAGCACCATAGTTCAAAAGAATCTCTATCGTGTCCAAAAAACATGATTGCAAGTAAACCTCTCCTTCTGTTGACCAGGACTTCAAGGCATCAGCAGCCAGGTCTGGATTCTTATGGGCTGCCCTGTTCTTCACAGTGCCCTGGGGAAAAGGAAGAGCCTTTTCTGGCACAATCCCCCGTTCTCCCCACCCCATTCTCATTGTCTGCATAATGAATTTTACGCCACCTAGTGGTAAGGACTGGGTAACTATGGAGGAATCGAAGAAACATGGTTTGGAAGCAATCTGCTTAAAAGTGTAGTACTACATGCGAGGAGAACGCCTTTCAAGAGATGGGTTTTTATTTCCCCCCCAACAAACTGTAGCTATGGAAACTGTGTGAAAGGAGCTTTTTAACCCTTTCATCTCAGGCTGGATTCTTCCCTATCAAAAACCAGCACCACTAAACTGTTAGTGTGGCAAATTTACAGGTCAATTAAAAAAAAAAATTGTAGTGCAAGCAGCGGGGTGTGTGTGTGTGTGTGTACAGATTTTCAATAACAAGGCATCCCCAAGAGGGTTAAGAAGCAATCCTTCCAGCCTCCCAAACTCAGCAGTAAAAACATAAAAACATCCCCTTTGAAGAAGCAGAGAAAAGACACATTGTTCCGTCTTTGACTTTTTGGAACACGCTTGAGACAGCAAATATAGTAAAATTTCTAAGCACTGCCTGGGATGTCTCGCTTTACCAAGCAGGCTTTGGCCAATGGAAAAGTCAGTGGAACCGTATAAGCATTTCTTCTTACTTGCAAGATCTGAAATCTGTTTTTTTCCTTTTCCCAGCAAGTGAACTCCATCTTTACCATGCTTTGACTAAAACTTGATCAGGTTTCTTAGAGTCAGATGAAACTGCTTTGCTGATCTAGCTGAATGGCCATCTTCTTCTTCCCACCAGGAACCTGTCAGTCTTGTTTCATGGGATGGTTTTAAAGGTCATGCACTAACAGTTTCCTCTGTTGCTTTGTCATGCAGCTTGGGTGATGTACACTGCTACGGGGACCTTTGTCTTCGCCGTCCTCATCATCTCGTATCATCTGCGTAAAAGGTAGGTTGGGGTAAGAAAGGGACAAACACGATTCTTGGGTTCCATCCCCACCTGGAAAGCAAAGTCCTTGGGGTGGTGGGGACTCCCTCCAGCTCAGAGTCCGGGGTTCTGTTCCTCAGCGTAAGTCTGGAAGACAGGTTAGCGAATTATAGGAGACTTGACTGGAGAACTGGAAAGAAAGGAGATAAATATTGTTATCTTTTTTTTTGCAATGGAAAATCATAAATAAATTTGTAAAAAAAAAAAAGAGATAAGAAAGAATCTGTGTGCATTCCAGATGACAACTTGGAAGACCTGGACTCTCTTGTAAGTCGCCTTGAACTGGACTCTGAAGAGGCAGCATAGAAATATTCTAAATAAATAAATTTTAAAAATTCCCCACTCGGCCATGATGATGCTCATTGGACAACCTTGAGTCAGCCATGGGGTTGGATCCACAGCTTTTCTGCAGGTGAAACAGGCAGGATAGGGGGGTCTACTTTGACAACCTACAAGGGCTGTGCTGAGGATCAGAGGACCTGCGTAGACAAAAACCAGGTGGCAGTAAGGAGGGGAATTGGGTGAGATTGACAGGTCTCTCTACGGTCATCATCTTTCTAACGTTTCCCACTGGGGAAGGAGCTCCAACCCCTAGGGTGCCTGGCAACTCCCCTCCCCTCCCCTCCCTGTGATGTGCCAGCAGATGGAGAGAGAGGAGTCTCCGCTGAGCTGAGCTGGATCCAGGTGCCACGGATGGGTGCCTGGCCTCCTCTCTAAACAGAGACTTCAGAGGGTTAAGAATAACTGTGTAAAGACCCGGCCCTTAGCTACAGTGGGGCATTTTGGGGCCCTGCCCCCTGAATTAAAAGCCCCGCCCCACAACGAGCCATGCCAGAAAACCACTTTTGAAAGACTCACCATGACCTAAGTGGTATACAGCAGGACTGGCCTAGCAGAAAGGGGGATTGTTGGAGATATATTGAAGTGCCCTTCTTGAGTGTCCTTCTGAGCTTCCTTGCCCTGTGGAAGGGAACTCAGAAGGCATTTAGAGGCCCTCTCAGCTGTGTTTTCCTAGGAACTGACGCTGCCCTGTCCCTTCAAAGGAAGGGCTGGAAACAGGCTCGGAACCTCCCCTTTTAATGACAGGCATTCAGATTAATTTAATTAACTCGCAGGGCTCTTTTTGTAGAAAAAACCCAGCAGGAACTCGTTAGCATAATAGGCCACACCCAACAGCAAAACTCATTAGCATATTAGGCCACACCCCTGACAGCACCGCTCATTGGCACATTAGGCCACACCCCCATGTTACCAGAAGTGTGATCATCCAGCCACACCCACCTTTCCCTTCTTATTCTGTTTCCCTTGTTTGTTGTCAAACCAGGGCTTTTTTTGTAGCAGGAACTCCTTTGCATGTTAGGCCACACACCCCTAATGTAGCCAATCCTAATGAGTTTCTGCTATTGGGTGTGGCCTATTATGCTAATGAGTTCCTGCTGGGCGTGGCCAACTCGGGAGCCAGCCGGAACTCCGTTCCTGTGCGTTCCTGCCCAAAAATAGCCCTGATTAACTGTAATTTAACTGCCCCCTTAAAAATTTGAATCCCCCCCCCAACTAAAAAATCCAGGCTACAGGCCTGGTAAAGACTTCAGCCTGCCATGTGCACACATAATATCCTTACCATAAATCAATGGCTCAAAAGGCCACCAATGTATCCTATACCTTACAATCATATCAGACTTGCCTTAATGGCTTATGCTTCCTTGGAAGCAGAATTCTAAAGTTAGGAAATCTGGAAACTCAGCATTTGATTTCCATTGTCACTTGCATTTTATTTTTATTTTATCCCATTTGCATTTTTTAAATCCTGTTTGCATATCCTGCCCTTCATCCAGGAAGCACCAAACAATGGATACAATTCTCCCTTTTTTATCCTTGTTAAGAGTCCTGCGGTGTTTGCCAGATCGACTCCAGTGCTTCACAGAGTTCCCCGGACCTCATGCCGAGGATCTCTTTGCAAGTCCCATCCTTCCCCTGTTACTCCTTCTGGAAGGGGCTCTACTCCCTTCATTCATTTGTTCGGTGACTGCCCTGTCTTCCACTAATCTTTAAAAAGCCAAAATAGGAACTGTTCTTTAGGATAAAGATACAAAGAAAAAGCCATGACCTGGATAGCCCAGGCTAGCCTGATCTCTTCAGAACTCTGAACCTAAGCAGGGTTGGCCCTGTCTAGTATTTGGATGGGAGACCTCCAAGGAATAGCAAGGTCGTGACATGGAGGCAGGCGGGGTCACCATAAGTCAGATGTGACTTGATGGCAAAAAATCCCCAGCCAACAGGAAAAATGGTGTTATCAAGAGGCAACATATATTTCTGCAAGGAGATAAACCCAATCAATCCTCCCTCAAAGGCCAAAACAGTCCTGGAAAGACAAAAACACCCCTGCCACTCCCATTTTACTGACAGAAACCAAGGCCTGAAGCCTGGCATTACTGTTGTGGTTGCCTAGCAACCCCACAGTGGCCACTAAGAGGGCATTCATTTCTTGAAGGTACAGGCATAGCTTCTATTATTTGGGTTTTTTAAATTTTTGTTTTCAGATTTTTGCTTTTTATATTTGTTTTGTTATATTTGTTTTCAGATTTTTGATTTTTCTGCACACCTGGTTTGTCTTAGGTTTGTAGAAAGGGCTGTTTGGGCTGTTCATGGCTCTAAACTCTGGATTTAAGTATCTACAGATCTGACTGTGCTGAGAACTAAATATACTGAATATACTGACGATGCTGTTTGGTGGTGTGAATTCTTATCTCACCTAGTTCTGCTGTTTCCTTTCTTCCCTCTTTCCAGGACTTGCCTTTTTGTGCAGAAGAAGACCGGCAGTTCTCTGGGCCCTTTCTCCTCCAAAGGCCCACGAAGTCGCTGCCAGTGCCTCGGTGGCGAGGCGTGGGCCGTGGCCTACCGACACACACGTGTGGTGATCTGTACCACGCGTGGTGCTCCACACCACCGCCCCCTGCACAACGGTGGCGGGGATGATGAGGCCTCCTCTGACTGCTCCTGCCTGTGCCACAGTTACGAGAACCTTTCTTCTACCAATCAGTCCTCTCTCAAGTCTCTCATCTCCACCATCTGAAGCCACAGGGGTCCTGTCATTTCCCCCCTCTCGCCACCACATCCATTCAGGGACAGGTCCCCCTTTCTGTTGCCAGACTTTACATATGGAATTTCCTTGGACGACTGGATAGGAAGCAATCTGAACTCTATAGCCACATCCCCTCAGGGCGGGAGGCAAGAGAGCTATAGCTTATTGGAAGTCGATGTCTGGGATGTGTGGTTGATAGCGACATTCCAGGGAAACGGGAGACCCTGCGTGAGCATGAGCAGTGTTTTACATGGCTGAGAGAGCCTTAATAAGCTGCCGCTGAAGCTATCCCTAGGTGGAGTACAAGGTGACGGGGAACGTATAGCCATATCTCTTTGGGGAAAGACGTATACTCCTCTTTGGAAGCAAGTAGGCCCCTTACTGGTGCTGGAATTTTTTAACCATTTCCTGTGAGATGCAGAGGACTGGGAGGGACCCCCTCCCCCCATTTCTGCTGTCGAAATCTCCATTGCAGCAGGAGGGGTTTAGGACCATGGATCGGACCGTGCTGGGAATCACAGCTCCTTCTGATACCGCATTTTGCGAAGGGCTAGGAATGGTGGGATCCTGTGGCTGCATCCGTACAGCATTTTGAAGCTGGGGCAGGGGACCTGCTGCCCGGAGGGTGGCTGGCCTGCAGACACTGAACGGAAAAGGGGGTCCTTGGTTGCATGCTGAGCCGATCGCTATGGGGCCGTTTGGGTACAAACTGAGTCCGGAGGCCATGGGACACGCAGAAGAAGAAAGGATATTCATTGGGGGACACCAGAGAGGCGTCAGAGAAGAAGAGAGGAGATGAGAACCAACCCCTTTGTCTCCCTGTGCCCCACAGGCGCTAATGGACTTTGGAATATAAAGCTTTCATTAAATTATTTTCATATTGGTGATGATGCTTCTCTGTTGCTGTCAGCACTAATGGTGTCAAGGGTGGGATGTCAAAAAGGGTAAAGATTTTCATCTCTGGTGAGGATATAAACTCCCAGTTGCTGGGGGCATGGAGCAATATTTGTAGAGAATGAGAATAATATTAGCAAGCTGTCTCCTTATTCATATGAATGTGGAGAAATTCCTGGTTCAAGCCTTAAGAGAAGAAGCAGTAAATCAGTGTAGTGGAGCGGTTAGAGTGCCGGTCGGAATCCCCACTCTGCTGTGGAAGAAGAAGAGTTGGATTTATACCCTGCCCTTCACCTGGAGTTTCAGTGGCTTACAATCTCCTTCCCTTCCTCTTCACACACAACAGACACCCTGTGAGGTGGGTGGGACTGAGAGAACTCTGAGAGAACTGCTCTTGAGAGAACTGCTCTTGAGAGAACAGCTCTGAGAGAACGGTGACCAACCCAAGGTCATGCCAGTCGCTGCATGTGGAGGAGTGGGGAATCAAACCCGGTTCTCCAGATTAGAGTCCGCCACTCTTAACCACTACACCAAACTGGCTCTCAAACTGTAAGCTTGCAGGGGGTACTTTTGGGCCCGTCACACACTCTCGGCCTAACCTACCTCACAGGGTTGTTGTGAGGACCACATTGAGGAGAAAATTAAGTAAGCCACATTGGGGAGAAATGTGTGTTATAAATGAAGTAAATAAGTAATCACTTGGGATAATATTGGCAGGCGAAGGCTAGAACTTGAAAATGAGAGTAGGGAAGTAAAGGAGGGTCCTCATGGGCACTCAATGAAATTGCCGAGCAGTCGGGTTAGAACGGATAAAAGGAAGTACTTCTTTACCCAAAGAGTGATTAACACATGGAATTCACTGCCACAGGAGGTGGTGGCGGTTGCAAGCATGGACAGCTTCAAGAGGAAATTAGATAAGCATATGGAGCAGAGGTCCATCAGTGGCTATTAGCCACACGGTATAGATAGGAACTCTCAGGGTGGGGCAAGTGATGCTCTGTATTCTTGGTGCTTGGGGGGGGGCAACAGTGGGAGGGCTCCTAATGTCCTGGCCCCACTGCTGGACCTCCTGATGGCACCTGGTATTTTTGGCCACTGTGTGACAGAATGTTGGACTGGATGGGCCATTGGCCTGATCCAACATTGGCTTCTCTTATGTTCTTATGTTTTGGAAGGAAAACAAAGAGCTGAGGAAAGCAGGGATCCTCAGGGAAGCAAGTTGTATGTGTCCATATGCCGGTACTAGAACCACCCGAGCCAAGATAGGGAAGTTGGAACGCTTGGTGCTAAATGATAGTAATAGCAGGTATGTCAGGGGTGGCAGTGAAAGAGTCGAACTTTTCAGGTTAGCCTAAGCCCTGGCACATCTCGTTTTTGATGTCTTCACGACATACATTCAAATACATCATACTTAATCCTGGTGTTTGTATCCGTGCCAAAATGCCTGGTTTCAACTAGAAATCAGTTCAGAAGTGTCCAGCTATATACAGTTATGTACTAGACAGTTATAGCTATATGGTGCGACCTCATTTGGAATACTGTGTGCAGTTCTGGTCACCAAACCTTAAAAAGGATATTATAGCTTTGGAAAAAGTGCAGAAAAGGGCAACTCAAATGATAAAAGGGTTGGAACACTTTCCCTATGAGGAAAGGTTAAAGTGCTTAGGGCTCTTTAGCTTGGAGAAATGACGACTGAGGGGTGACATGATTGAGGTTTA